TTCCTTCTATCTCATTTCTCTGGTCCTCCACCAACACCATCATGTATGAGTTCTGGCCCATGGGGAAAGGGACAGGGGAGGTGGTGAACAAGCCGCTTTCATTTAGTGAAGAGACCCAGCAGATGCACACACAACTACCCTGGTGTCCCACTGGCCACAGCTAGACAGGCCAGGAAATGTGGCCAGCAAATACTCAGGAAGCTCCATCATCATGCAGAAGAAGAGAGAGGAAAATTTTCATCCTTTCATTTAAGGATGAGACCTAAAGAATGTGTTGGAAAGAGCTCACACTTTTTTGGACTCAACACTTTTCTTGGAAAGAGCCCATACTTTTACCACCTATGTGCTAAAATCTCTGTACCTGTTTTTCTGAAAACCAAAAATTCCTTATGTGATTTTTATTAATATAAGAATAAAAAAAGTTTATTACCAGATTATTGCCAGAATGCTCACTACATAGTTGATGCTTATTTTGTATATTTTCCACTTTGCCCCTCTTTAAAAGTTTTTATCAACAAACCCAAGAAATGCCAGTTGTTGGATGCATGTCAAACATCATTTATCTGACTTGGTCACTGGATGGGCCACAGTAGCCCAGTGGCTGGTCTCTGCTCCTGCATTCCTTTGTTGATGTCAGTATAAGAATCCTCTTTCTAAAATACAATCCCTAAAATATCAATTATAATAATACTTTATTTTTAATTTTATTATTATGGTTACTCATCACCACAATACTAAAGATGGGAACTAGGCATATCCTCCATTTCATAGAGTTGAAAACTAAGACACAGAAACATTAAATAATTTGCCACCAAATCAAATAGAAAGTAAGAATCAGAACGTAGATTCAAACAGGCTTGCATGACTCCATAATCCAAACTCTTAAGTACTCACATCACCTCTCCTACTCAAACATCTTCAGACTTCTAATTGCAAGCCAAAAAAAAATCCAGACTCTTTCACCCAACATTAAGACTCTCGTCAGTCTAGTTCAGATTACCTTAGCAGCTTTGTTTTCCATCTCCCTTGTCAACTAGGAAAATACTTCTTCCAGTAGCCTACCCTGACTGCTGTTCCCCTATGTGCTTCCTGACTTTCCCCCACCAAATAATGTATTGTACAGAATTGCAATACTAAGAACTGATTATTTACCTGAATGCCCCATTAGATTTCGAGCACCTGGCCTCGGCTCACTTCATGGTCAGTGCTGTGTAACTAATCAACTTTGCTCTGAAGTCAGACAGGGTAGCTGTGTTGTTCCTAAACACCTACATTTTCAACCTCTGCGTCTGCACATACTCTCTCTACAACCCAAATCTCTTTGCCACCTTATTACATGTCTTTTTGCTGGCTCCTTGACCTTTATTTAAGATCTGACTCAAATATCATCTGCTCTTAGAAGTCTTTCCCACATCTGTGGTGGAGATTCATCTTTTCTTGCAATAACTTCCCATCCCTTTCCATCAGTATAGTAACATGTCATCTTCCTCTGCACAGTACAAGTCTTTCATGTGCAGCCCTACTCTCCCAGGAGACTTTGACCCTTTAGGAAAACACCATATCATGATCTTTGTATTACCTCCACATGTAACAGCCAACCAGGTGTTGAATTGAACATACATTTCATTTCTGCAGACTGTGCTAAGAAACAAGCACAGCCCCTAGTATTGCCTGTGAGAACATTGTTTATTAGCAGGAGTGTTCATGGGCCACAGAAGACAGGTAAACTCCTGCAATGCACGCACCACTGTATTTATGTCTACAGGATTTTACTAGAGAGCAGATCCATGACATATACTAAATTTTCAAAGGATTCTATGACTCTGAAATGATTAAAAACCACTGTTAAAAAGATGTATTCCTCATTCCTTTAAGTTTCCTTTTTTTTTTTTTTTTTGCTGTATTGAGCAGAAATGCTTTCTAACTATACAGGCAATACAGATACATTGAGATAGCATATTAAAATACAGTTTAGCAAGAGAAAGAGAATCTTACCTCTCTTTGTGTGCCCACCCTGTCACTGCCCAACACACTCATGCAGACACACACACACACACAAACACACACACACACACGCACTCTCAGCAATAGCTCTATAGAACTTGTATATATGTCTTTCCAGAGTTGCATGTAATGAAAATAAAATTGTATTTGCAACTTTTTATTAGAAGTTCTATATAACAATGAGAGAAATTTGAGTATTCCAACACAAAAATGTTTAAAAGATATCAACAGGTGATTTTAAAAATATAACTATATAAAATATAACATTGAGGGAAAGATGTTAAACCTTAGAGAAATGTAGAAACATCATGCATATGTGTACCTGTTGGGATTACACACACAAACTAACACGCACAAATGCACCGTTCAGTGCTGGTGAGAATTCAGGGAAACAGACTCTCTGATCTGCTGGTGGGAGTGTAAGTCCATACCTCTTTTCCTTCTTTGTGTCTTTGTTCCATTGGTTCTTAAATTTGAGCATTTAGATTGTGTAATCTCTCTCAACTTTTTATCTCAGGAGCGATGGTCCAATCTCTTGTCTCAATAATCCTTCACTTCTAGTTTTGGTTTATTTTGCTCCATTGTATTTTCTAAATCTTTAATGCTACATTTGAAATTTTATTCCTAGTATTAAATTTCCTGTCTTCTTGTGCTTTTGTTTTGCTTTTCTGGTTCCTATTTCAATCCTTTTCTCTTTCTTTTTCTGTTTTCATTTCTTAATTTAAGCCTATATTTGCCTTCTGAACCATCTTATTTTTAACCTCCCTTAGTCCATTACTCTGTTTTTTTAACAGGGCTTGTTTAATGATGTACATTGAAAAGTATACTGTGCTGTACAAAGTCCTTTCCTATGCCGTCTGGGTCATTTAATCCTTGTAAAGCAATTGCAACAGTAACTTGTATGGTGCACTTAAGAATTGTTAGACATCACCGTAATCAATCCCAGGGCTCTAGGAGGTCATTTTGCCTATCTAGATTTAAATGGATGATAATATCATGAAAGTTTTTTATATAGTCTTTTTAAACTAGAAATATACACAGAGAGCTGATAGAGATGAAAATCCTAAGAAGTTTATTTCAATAAATAGTAATGTAGTTCTGAATCTCTTGCAAGTATAAGCTGAGAGTCTAGGTTGCAGACCTTTCCAGTTAGGAGTTATGTAACTTAACCTGAGATTTTTCAGCTCTTCCAAAAACAACTTTATTATAATACTCTTAACTAATCAAGAAATTCTTGTAAGCCATAAAAACTTCACCCAGGAATTCAGCAAGGTGAAATACAAAATCTGCTTTATGTGTTGGGACCCAACACTGCCATTTCTTACAAGTAAAGACATGTACTCTAGAGTCAAACTGACTTGAGATTGAACTTTGGCTCTCATGGGTAGGACGTGCGGTGCTGGAGGTAAACAGAGACTGCTGGAGGACACTGGGACAAAACAGTGATGCAAGGACTGGGTTCAGGCCTGGTCTTTAGTGTGGGAGGAGGGTGCTGGGATGAGGCTGAATCCGGTGTATTGGCTCTGATGGGGCCATGTAGGTCCAGGGCTGTAGGAGTGGCATGTTGGAGAATAAGCACACAGGGACCAGGGTCAGGGAGGGAGTCACAGACACCTGGAGGACATGGTACCCCTTTGTTTGATACCTTGTACACAGCTACACTCAACCCAGGCAGATAAAAGGCAGGGGCAAGGTCTACATAGGCCACTTTCTTGATTATATAAGAAGGACTTTAATCAGTAACTGCACACTGTACTCTGACTGGTGTTTGCACATCTCTGCACACGTGTGCATGGTCATAAACACACCCACACACTCCGATTCTCCCTCCCACCTGCCCCGCTCATCTCTCTTACTCTCCACTTATTCTCACATTCCCTCTCTCACTCTCACTGAACTCTAAGTTCCAGAAGCCATCTCATGGTCACGTGTTTGTCTTCAAATCTTATATAATGCCTGACAAATTCCCTGCCCCACTCAAAAGCTTTGTCACCCTGGCTGCATTACTTCAGCTCTGACTCATTTTCATCTTCTGAAAGATGAGGAAATGCATTACTACCATAGGGTGGTTGTGGGATTAATGAGATAAAACATGAGGGAATGTGGCTTTCTGTGACCCAACTCTCTCCTCCCCACATGTCCGTGAGCTCTTGTTCTTTCTGCCACTGTGAGTGCACATCCACGGCCCTTTGCACATAAAGCTTGTTTACTCCTTGGACGCTTGCTGAGTGGCTGTGCGCCTGGACCAGAAAACAAAGCGCCTTTCACACGGCTGCTTTCATTCTTCCCCACAGAACCCTTTGAGACAGGAATAACTTTCTCCCTTTTACAGATGGGGAGCTGAGACCCAAAATGTGAAGCGACTTCCCAAGAGCCCACAGCAACTGAAACGCAGAGCCGAGATTCTGGCGTCACTCCAGCGCTAGAGAACTTTCCTCCATGCCTGGTCCACCCCGTTATGCGCCTTCTGCTGTCGAGCATGTGTTTCTATTATCTATGGCCAGTGTAGGAAGGGGGCGTTCTCTTTTGGTTAAACAGATATTATGATTTACTAAGAAGTCCCTGCTTGCTACACAGACTTATATTAAGCATATCTCAGCCTTGAGTGGGGCTTCAGATGTGCTGAACTCTCTCTCTTGGATAGACTCTAGGAAGCTTGAGGCTAGAGACTTTGTTTATATTATTACAGTTACATCCTATGGCCTGCTCTAGGGACACATGCTGGATGCTCACTCAATTCATGCTGGGTGACTATGTGAATGGATGTTTAGAAGGAACATTGCACATCTTGAAGTAAATTGACTCTGAGCCTTGTTGAGAGAAGGAGAAGAAAAGGAAAGAAAAACATTCCCATGATCCCAAGGTGCCCATGTGTACGCACATACACACACACACACTCCCCCAAATATGAGCCCCTCCAGCTACAAACACAAACCTCCATTTGTGAACACTCAGGTGTGTGCATATTTAGCTGTGACTACTGAACTGTTTTTCAGTTTGTGAAGAAATATGGTAACTTGCTTAGCCTGGACTTTGCGGACATACCTACAGTTGTTGTTACTGGATTGCCCTTGATCAAGGAAGCCCTTGTCCACATGGACCAACACTTTGTGAACCGTCCTGTTTCCCCTGTCCGAGAACGTATCATTAAGGGAAATGGTAAGTTTCTTCATCCTTGGAAGCTGTGTGTTGATATCTGTATGGTCAAACTGGCCCCGTTATAAATTTCCTGCCTATAACGGACACTAGATGCCCACATTTCCTGGATTGAAGTCACCCCCTCTGAGCACTTCACAGGGTCAGTCATGCTAGAGATTTGGGAGAAGCCTCCTGCCCTGCACAAGCTCACGCCAGATGCTTCTATAACGATGGAACCGCATCACTTATTATGGCAGAGAAAGAGGTTAATGTGTTCTCTCTCTCTGCTGTCCCATTCCAAGCCTCTTCCCTTGGGAAGATGGTTGTGGATCTGCTTCCTTCTGCTGCTGCTTTCTGTCTCTAGCTCCTCGTGCTCTACCATGAAGGCCGTGCTGATCGGGGATCTCGAGCCTTCTGGTCTATGTTAGAACAGGTCGGCAGGAGTACTTAAGATTATCATTAAAGGAAATTAAACATTTAAAAATTTAAATGAAATTTCAACTCTATTACTCTGTCGAAGAACCATTTTGAGGTGCTTCCCAATTCCTCTTTGAAATGTTAATCAATGAATTCTATATCCATTCAATGTACTATCTTCCATGTGAGCACAGTGCTGGGCAGGAGTGATATAACAATGAGTAGAACAGATGAAATCTACATCCTTATGTAATTTCTATTCACTGTGATAGACGGTATCAATTATCCATAATAATCTAAAGCCTACAGTGTTATGCAGACAAATGAAGGATACACTCATGAAAGTTATCTAAGGTAGTCCTGGGATTCAGAAAAAGCTTATTTAATGAAGTAAAAAAAACCCAAATAAACAAAAAATAAAACAATCAAGCAGTGGGACAGAATATAAAAGTCCATGAAGTATAAAGGAGGATGGTGACTTGAGGAATTGAAAGGTGGCCCATATGGCAATCACAGGGATTAAAAGGAGATAATTAAATGGAAATGAAGCTGCTGAGCCTGGTCAGGATAGTTCATGCAAGTTCTTATTAAGTATGTTGGTTTTTATCCCAATAACAATAGAAGTTCTTGAATGGTTTTAAATATAGAAGGAAATTATCATATTAACTGTGTACATTTTTATGGCTCACTTAGGCTGTCTTTTAGAGAATGGACTAAAAAGAACAAGAGACTAGTGTAGCCTTTTAGGTTAGAGAATGTGGTAGCTTGGATCAATGGGTTGGTGAGAAATGATAGTAGGTTAGACCAGGATAGCGGCAGTGAAGACACATGGATTCAAGACATCCAGGAGGTGAGCCTAGTAACACATGATGGCCTAGATGCAGGGAGAGTGAGGTGTGGAGGTGACACCCAAATGGGTCAGTGATGGAAAGAAGGAACACTCAGAAAAGGACAAGGTGTTTGCTTTGGTTGGGAGTGTGAGTAGGGATTTGTATGGAAAAATCATGAGTTCAAGCAAGGATATGCTGAGTTTGAAATGCCTTTAGGTCAGCAAAGTCAGGCAGTTGTATTAATAGATATGGGGCTAGAGCTCAGGGACAGCAATAGATGGTCACTATCAACAGATGCTATTTAAAGTTTTAGGGAGTGATAAAATTTTCCACAAGTGGAATATAATGTGAAAAGAGAAGAGACTTTAGACCTGATTTTGAAGAACTCCACCATTTCAAGATTTAATAGAAGAAGAAAAACCAGCAAAAGATATGGGAAGTTGCTGGCAGAGAATTAGAAAGGAAATCTGTACAGCGTGGTATCCTCAGCACCACTGGAAGGGAGTGTTTCCAGAAAGAAGTATCCAGTGCTGCTGCAAGATCAAGTGAGATGGGGTCAAAGGTATCCCTGGACATGACAGCAAGGAGGGCCATTTCATTGGTGACAGAGGCCAAAGCCAAGTGTGACAGGAGTGGAGATTGCTCAGAAAGTGAAGAAATGGAACGGAGCATGGCCTCCCCTGTGTTGTGGACAGATGATGGTCTGTTGAACACACCAAGACGGTTTCTTCCCTTTGCCTGTGGTGTCCTTTCTGTGTGGAATATTCATCCTCCTTGCTTTCTTGAGTTATTCCTTCATCTTTTATAGTCCAGCTTAGATAGAAACTCTCCTATAGAGCCTTTATTTGACTCCTTAAGTATATGGACTTTATCTTATCCGTAAGTGCATTCTTAGCATTTTGCATGACATGAATACATTGTTTATATGGCTAATAATCAGAGCATGGGCTTTAGAATCAAGAAGACCTGAGTTTGAACACCTCTTTAGTTGTTTACTGTGTGACATTATGATGTTCACTTTATCCTCTGTTTCTCAGGTTTCTCATTAGTAAAATGGTGTGATGGTGGTAATAATTGCACCTACCCTGCAAAAGTTCTCTGAGTACTAAATTGTAGAATGCATAAAATATTTACTAAAGTGCCTAACATCCCAAGCAATCAGTTAAGTCCACTAGTTTGGGGTGATTTCTCTAAACAATTTTCAAGTGCATGAATAGCCTTCTCCTTCCCTCCATCGATACACATCCTCATATTATTTGCTGGATATTCACATTATAGAACCAGAATACCATAGTATTGACTTTCTTTTTTGCAGGATTGATCATGTCCAATGGGCAAGCATGGAAGGAACAAAGAAGGTTCGCCCTGACAGCGCTAAGGAACTTTGGTCTGGGAAAGAAGAGCCTAGAGGAACGCATTCAGGAGGAGGCCCGCCACCTCACTGAGGCAATCAAGGAGGAGAATGGTGAGCATTTCATAGGACAGATGTAGGAGATTGGAGCCAATTCATACATTGGGCAGACATTTATGCAGTGCCTAAGTGCTTGTTCTCTGCCCAGCACTGTGCTAAGTACTCAGCATAGAATAGTGAACAACAAACCATGACCCTGCCCTCAAGGAGTTCTAGAATTAAATGCATGAAGATGAGCAAAAAACACATTACTGAATTTAAGTCCTGGTCATCAGTTTGACTGTGGCATTGACTGAGCACTTGCTGTATGTCAGCCCCAGTGAAAGGTGGTGTGGCCAGGCCTTGTGAATGGTTCAGTACTAGGTATGTCCTATGTCAGAGACAGTAGACTCTCAGTAGGAACTAGAACAAACCCATCTTGTCCTTCCTCTTCCTCCAGGACAGCCTTTTGACCCTCACTTCAAAATCAACAATGCAGTTTCCAACATCATTTGCTCCATCACCTTTGGGAAGCGATTTGAGTACCAGGATGCTCAGTTTCAGGAGCTGCTGAGGTTACTGGATGAGGCCACATTTATGGAGGCTTCAATGGCATGCCAGGTAAGGAAGTTTTTTTTCAATATTTTGGTGAATGACATTGAGGCTCTTGTGAGATACAGATGGGTTTTTCCTTTTTGTTTTTTCTTTTTTTTTTTTTGGCAAGGGTAGTTGGGAGTTGAACCTAGAAGTATCCTTTTAAATTTGATTTCAATACGTTATTTGAAATCAGTCTGTTGACTCTAGTGTCTTTAAGAATATTAAATATTTACCAAGTGTTTACCATATTTACCAAGTGTTTACCGTATGCAAAAAACATTTCTATCATTCATGTAAAGTACAAAGTTTTACATGACGTACATCTGTGCACCTATATTTGTTCTTTTTGGAAAGAACAATGTTGCCATTGCCTTTGAGTCCATCTATCGGGGGGGTTGTTACATCCCCAATAAAGATAGGGTCCCCGGGCAGAATGTGTTGTAAGAGATGAAAGAAACACAGACACAGAAATAATATTTAAGAGAGCAGGGAAATTGAGACCACCATCACTCTGGTGCCAAAGGGGCAGTGACTGAAACCCAGCACTTAGCACTTGCTTTTTATTCTCTTTGCCATGCTACAAAGAGAAAAAATCACGGGATACACTAATCAAATGTCTCCGGGCTCCCGCCAAAATCACAAGGTGTCCTAGCTAATCACTTTCTCCTTTCTAGTAGTGGAAAACATATAATTCTTCAGTAGGTACAACCTGTCACAAGATAAACTAATTAATTTTATCCCAAGCTCAAGCTGTGTACCTGGATATCAATCTTTAACTTCAGTAGCTGCGACCCTTTTGATCAAGGAACAAAGAAACTACATGCTTTCTACTGGGAGACTGGTTTTACATTAACTGAGGCATTGTTGAGAGAAAGGGAGAGAAGGAGCTTGGCCCAGTGTTCTAACAGCAGAAGCCTTAAGACCCTTCTCCTGGGCTGACATATTGCCATCTACCTCTATAGCCAGGAGAAGTTTTCATGTCAGGTCACTCTGTGGCTTTTCAGGAATGAGACCCGTTAGGCTCTGAGGTTGGAGCATGCTTTGCTGTACTCCCAGATCCCTGATATATGTCCCCCAACTAGGCAGGTAACATCTGCCCTTATTTCAGGCTTCTGCTCAGGCAATTCCTTCACCTCCTATCCCCTGACAGCCTCAGACATAGCATCCTAAGTCCCAGTGGTCTTAATCCCATCATCCCTCCTCTTTCTGTCTCTCCCCAACCCACCCATTTCCCTCCTATGTCCCAGGTACTCTTCTGTGTCTGGCTTCCTGCTCAGCAGGTGGTTTTGAGATTCATCTGAGTTGGTTGCTCTTTTTTTGGTAAATGTAGACTAGTATTCCATTGTGTGAATGTGCCATTGTTTGTTAATCTGTTCCCTATTGATCAACATTTAGTTTGTTTCCAGGTTTTGGGAAGTTATGAATAAAGCTGCCTTGAACGTTGTTCTATAAGTGTTCTTGTGGGCATGTCCACTCCTTGCCCTTGCATATGTATGTGGACATCAAAGATGCCTAAATATTTCCAAACTGATTATGCTATTTATGTGCTCACCAACACTCACTATTATCAATCTTCTAATTTCACCGGGTATATAGCCTTTTGGGGATGAAATCTCACTTCTTCTTTGGTGGGCCCTGCACCCCAATTTTTCTCCCTCTAGGCCCTTCATTGTGTAAAAGACCATACTTAGCTTCTTATTCTCTCAGCCACTTTCCTGAATTTGGAAGACATTTCTATAGGAAAATTCACCCCCAAGTGCTGAGTTCACCCCTGGGCCTCCTTCTTCCCCTAAGCCTTGTCCCTGAAATTCCCTGATTACCTTGGTATATATGTGTGTGTGTGTGTGTGTTTATATGTGTACACACATGTGTATTTTTTAATCTTGTTCTTACTAAAAGGGTTGAGACTTGATACTGAGTCTGCCATTGTCAAAATTTTAAAACATTTTCTCAGTTTTGGAAAAAAAACACTTTATTTTTGAAAATTACAAATATACATAAAAGTACAGAGAGTGCAATCATTAATCACTGTGTGCCTATCAATCCACCACGGATAATGATCAACATATAACTAACCTCTGTTTATTAATATCTGTATCCAAGCCACCCCGCCTTTGAATTATATGGAACAAATTACAGACCTGAATGATTTGTTCTCATAAATATTTCAGTGTATATTTCTAAAAGGACCCATTTAACAAAAATAATATTGCTCCTGAAAAATAATAATTATTTAGTATCTTCAAACACTAGCCAGTGCTCAGATATCCTCAGATGTCTCAGAAATATTTTTGGTGGTTTTCTTTGACTCATAATCCAAACGAGGCCCAGATATTATATTTGGTTACTGTGTCTCTTAAGTCTCATTCAATCCATGGCTTCCTGCCAATCTTCTTTTTTTCCTACACAATATATTATGTTTATTGACAAAATTGAGTCATTTGCTCTGTAGAATAGTCCACATTCTAGATTTTAGTGCTTGCATTTCTTTGGTTATTAACATGTTCTTCTATTCCTGTGTTTTATATTCATTGGTAACTAAATCTAGAGGATTAATCAAAATAAGATTTTATTTGTTGAAAAGGCTGCTTTTTAGGAGCTACTTACTATCTGGTTGTCCCATGTTAATAGTGATCATTGGGTTCAGCTGTTATCAGTCTGATCTATTATATCATCCTCCTTCTGCTTTTTACCTAATAGTTACAAAAATTATTGATGATCATTGTCTACATGCATTATTTCTTTGCAGGATTCAATCAGGGGATATCGTAATTCCTTTTTCCCCTCTTTGTAATTTACTTATGGTTATTGATTTTGCATTGATAAATCTTGGTAAACTCATAACAATATTCTGATTCATCTTTGGATGACTTCATAGGCAATTATTTATATGCAAATAAAGGAGGCTTTGTTTCTTCCTTTCCAATCCTTATCCATTGATTCCTCTTTCTTGCTTCATTGTACTGGCTAGAGTGTCCAGTGTGCTAAAATTTCCTACTAAGAGGGTGGATTTTTCTTATTCTCATTACATTTCTGTCAATTTTTACTTTATATCCTTTATAGCTATGTTATTAAATATATACATGTTTAAATCATTGTTTTGCCTTGTAATTGAAACTTTATAAACTATTTACTAACACTATTTATATATATTAATAGGTTCTTCCCTAAAGACTATTTTATATTATATGAATAAAGGTAATTGTTTTTCCTTTGTTTAGTGTCTGGCTATTGCTCTTCTATCCTTCTACTTTCTACCTTCCTATGCCCAAATATTTTAGATGCTTCCTTTTTAATCAGCGTAAAGATAAATACAGCTTTTATAACCAATCTGAAAATCTTTATCTTTTTATTGGACCATTTAGTTCCTTTTCTTTTAATCAAAATTATTACCAAATTAGAACTAATTTGTAATCATTTTGTGATTTCTATTTATCTGTTCTTTTCTCCTTCTTTGACTTATTATGAGTGAATGTTCTTCTCATTTTCCTTTTCCTTGTGTTCATTTAGAAGACGAACAGGCTTGTTCTATTATTTTAGCCTTTACCTGAAATTTTTAATATTCATAATTAAACCACCAGCATCAAAAATTAGTCTATATCATCCCCCAGAATACTGCAAGAGCTTTACAACATGACATCTGATCAATGATCTAGGCTACTAATGTCATGTATTTTAGTCTGTTCCTTTTTTAATTCTAAAGTATGCAGGTACATACATAATGAGTGTGATGCTCACCATCTAGGGGATGGACATGCTTGAAGCTCTGAATGGGGTGGGGGGAAAGTGCAACATAACCTAAACATATTGTACCCCCATAATATGCAGAAATTTAAAAAAAAATTTTTTTAAACTTCAAAAAAACCCCCTGTTAACAGGAAAACAGACACCTAAATAATAATTACATTAAATTAAAGTAGAAACTATAAGAATGATTATTTTTAAAAAAGTATACAGGATTATTACTGTTTATGCAGTGAATGTTTGCTTATATTTACCCAAATATTTATCAGTTTCTGTTTTCCATCATCTATCTTGTATTTCACAGCCTCCTCTTGAATTTCCTATAATGAGGGTCAATTGGTGGCAAATTTTTTCAATTTCACTTATTCAAAAGTATTTTTATTTTGCTCTACTTAGGAATTTTTTTATTTGGCTGTTTTTTTTTTTTTCAATTTATCTTTGCATGTTCGAAATGTTGTTCCACTGTCCCCTGGTTCCCACCTGTGCCATGGAGAGACAGCTAGAAGTGTAATTGCTGTTCCTTCAAAAATCATTTTTTCTCTTCTGACTACTATTGTGTGTATCTAACAAAATTTAGTTACTGATTTTACTGATTATTAGTTTCCCTATGGTGTATTTAGAAGAGCATTTATTTTTATGTATTCCTGACAAGCATCTTATGTGTGAGCTTTATGGACCCATCACACACAAACTGGTAAAGGAATCAGCATGACTCCTGACATGGGAAAAGGGCATAATGAACATGAGCTGTCATTACTGACAACGTTACTTTGAATTCCTTGTTTGCATTCCTAGTCGTGGTGGTCTCCAGTTCAGCAATTCCACTGGCTTCTTCCTGTTAAGACAGAGTCTAGGAAGTGATGAGAGTTTAGTGGGTGCTTAGCTGACTCCTGAGTCCATGTCTCAGGGAAGAGAACACAGGGGCAGCAGGGTAGGGGTGATAAGAATTTCCTGGAGTCTCAGAACATTTGAGGCTCTTTGGTGGACAACTACACATACTTTATCTCCATTAATTTTTGCAATCATTCTATAAATATGAAATGAGGCAACATAGTGTGTGCAAGCTGGCCCCGGAGTGTGCAGGCAAGTACAGCGAGTGGTCCACCAGCTCTGTGCTGAGTGCTCTGTGTAGCTCATGTCATTCGGTCCCCAGAGCCATGCTGGAGTGCCACTGGCAGCTAGTTAAACTAAGGATCAACAAAGTACAAAGTATATTATTATTATTATTATTATTACTGTTATCAAACTATTATATCTAGAGAGCAGCAAAGCTAATAGTCGCACCATGTCTGACCCATTGTAACTCTAGGCATTTTTACATTATTTGATGCTCTCCATTTTTCATGATATGTTACAGAAAGTTTATTCAACAACCACTCTACTTTAGTGAAAACTGTGAATTCTTACCCACATGGAGATCACAACATGGTAGGGGAGACAAATGTGCGCGCGCGCGCGCACACACACACACACACACACACACACACACACGTTAGTGATAATTGCCATGACGGAAAATAAAACAGAGCAAGAAAATAGATGGAAGGTGACAAAGGTCCTTTAGCTTACAGGATCATCAATCGCACAGCTCCAAAGAGGTGACATAGAGAAGGGCCTTAATGAAGTGAGGGGCTGGGATATGTGGACTTCAGAGGAAGAGCTTTCCAGGCAGAGGGAACAGCAACTGCAGAGGCCTCAAACAGGAGCGTCCTTGCTGTGATCCCAGAGGCCACTGCTGGACAGTAGAGAGCAAGGTTAGGAAGGAGCCAGCCAGTCTGCAGGGCCCAGCTCGGTGGGGCTTTCCAGCAATGACATGGGACCTGGTCATAGTGTGGTGGAAATCCCCGAGGACTGAGAGCCAAGGAGTGAAGTGACAAGGTTAAACTGCTAGCAGGGATCCTCGAACTTTTTAAACAGGGGGCCAGTTCACTGTCCCTCAGACCGTTGGAGGGCTGGACTATAGTTTAAAAAATACTATGAATAAATTCCTGTGCACACTGCACATATCTTATTTTGAAGTAAAAAAACCAAACGAGCAAAAACACCCGCATGTGGCCCACGGGCCGTCGCTGGAGGATGCCTGTCAGCTAAAGAATCCCTGTGGTGCCTCTGGGGAAGATAGGCTGGGAATGGGGTTGGCATCGGAATCACAAAACTGTGGAAAGCTCTCCTTACAGCACCCAGGGAAGGAATGGGTCGTGCTTTGCACCAGGATGGCAAGCTGTTGGGTGGCTAGCAGTGGTACAAGGCTGGATACATTTTGGACAGAAAGCTGAAGTGCTTCGCTGGAGGGGTGAGAGAGAAAAAGGGGATCACACCTGAGCATGGTTTCAGTGTGAGCCAATGAATGATATGGAAAGGAAGTTGGCCTCTGTCATGTGAAATGGTGGAAAAGTGGCACCATGGTGACCCCACAATTGTTTTCTTTTTCTCAATTAGCTCTACAGTATCTTTCCATCGATAATGAAGTTCCTTCCTGGACCCCACCAAACTGTCTTCAGAAATTGGGAAAAACTGAAATTGTTTGTTTCTCAAATGATTGAAAAACACAAGAAAGATTGGAATCCTGATGAAACAAGAGACTTTATCGATGCTTACCTCAAGGAAATGGCCAAGGTGAGGAAACCAAGGTTGTTTCTGCATTTTGTCCTTAAAGGCAAAAAGAGCTACACTAATTTCCTATTGCTGCTGTATCAAATTTCCACAAACTTGGTGGATTGAAATAGCACGAATTTATTCTCTTACAGTTCTGGATGTCAAAAGTCTGAGATCAGTTTCACAGAACTAAAATCAAGGTGTTGGCTGGACTAACTCCTTTTGGAAGCTCCAGAAAAGAATCGTTTTTGTGACTTTCCCCGCTTCTAGAGGCTCCCTACATTCCTCGGCTTGTGGCCCCATCCTCCATCTTCAAAGCCAGTGGCATAGCCTCCTCTCTGCCTCTGATCTCTGTTTCCATCCTTACATCTTCTCTCTCTGGCTTTGACCCTCTTGCCTCTCACCTATGAAGACTCTTCTGTTTACATTGGGCCCACTGAGATAATCCAGGATAATTTTTCCATCTCAGAATTTTTAACTTAATCCCACCAGCAAAGTCCCTTTGGCCATATAAAGTAATATCCAAGGTGCCAGAGCTTAGGATATGGATGGACATGTTCGTGGTCCATATCTCTGCCTACCACAGACCTCTCTAGCTAATATACGTCACTGAATCAGTGCCACAGTCTTTACACACCAAATATTGGGTCCTCCTCATGGAGTGGGCAGAATGGTAGATTTCTTTACCTCTTATTTCACCTTATTGACATAAAATTAATACAGGCAGTGCCTTCTCCCCAGAGAAGCAGACTCTACTGGCTTGATGCCGTGCACCTATGAGACCATGAATATTAAGAGCAATGTTGGACAAATGGAAGCTTCCAGGGGAGCATGGTAAAGATGATGGGCTATCATAAGAAATGGTTTTGGAATCAGAGTAGTACAAATTGGAAAGGAAAAAGTTAATGAGGTAATAGGCGAATAGATCATAAGAGGAATTCTGTTTATTTTTTCTGTTTTCAGTACAAACATTTGTACTGAAGTATTTGCTATGTGCCCTCGCATCTCATGTAATTTCCACAATGTCCCCTTAAGAGGTGTGTGTGGTTATTTCCATTTTATAAAATAGAAAACTGAAGCACAGAGAGGTTAAGCAACTTGCCTTAGGTCCTACAGCTGCTAAGTGAAGTGGCTGATATTGGAAGACGAATCTGTCTTGTTCTTATCCCACACTCTTTCCACTGGACTAACCGCTTCTTTTCAAATTACAGACATAAGAAAATAATTGTCTTTCATTTTCATCTTACCAAAAAGCTTCTAGCACTTGGGGCAGGACGATGTTGATGATATTGCTGGAATAAGCCCCTGTGTCCTGAAAAGGCAAAAGGGAAAGTTGTTTCTTCTGGGGACCTTTCCTTCTAATCTCCCTCTGAGGATGAAACCCCTGTGTGTTATGGTAATCAGGAATCCTATGAATAAACCAACCTATAACGTTAAATATTATCATTACTAGAATGCATGCAGTACTACTTCAAGTTTCCACGAAGAGAACCTCATCTGGAGCACTCTGGACCTCTTCTTTGCTGGAACCGAGACAACTTCTACGACCCTGCGCTGGGCTCTGCTTTACCTGGCCCTCCACCCAGAAGTCCAAGGTGGGTGTGGCAGTGTGCGTGCCCCGCCCAGGACACAGTGACGCTTCCTGGGACACACTGCCCAATGTAGGGGCCATATGAAAACATGGTGGAATGGAAGGAGAGGGGAATAATCAGGAATTGATGGAGACAGGGGAATGGGCACATTCTTCAAATTGGCGTCAGGGCTGTGATAGGTCCAGGTAATGCAAATACAAGAGAGAATCCCTGTCTCCCAGAAGCTGCAAGTCAAGAGGGGAAACCGTGAAGCGAGTCAAGATCCTGGAAAGTTCCAGGAAGTGTTCCATTCTCATGTGAAAATCTAGTGCTGCCCTTCTAAGTGATGCTTTCCCATTTCCTTGGGATAATGTCCAAACTCCTGAGCCCAGTATATGATCTCTCTGATGTGCCCCTTTCTGCCTGACCAGTCTCTGCCCCTCATGTAAGGACTGCAATACATGTCATTTCCTTTGCACTGTCCTATTTATGGCTCGCTGTCCGGACACCTGCTGTAGAATGTGCTTCCCAATTTCTCTGCTTAGTAAACTTGTATCTCTTCTTGAAGAATCTGCTCAAATATTCCTCCCTAAGACGTTTTTGTCTTTCCTGGCAAATTATGAACATTTTCTTCTTCCAGCGATGACTCAGTTTGCCTCCATTATTGGGCTTGTCCCACATTATTTCTATAGATGTCCCACATCAAGAGCAGTGACTGTTCCCATCATTTCTCTTCCTTCGTGTTCCAGAACAGTTTGAGCACATGGGAGATGGGAACTGTCATGACACAGTTTTTCACATTGTGGATAACATTTATTAATGAGGCATAAACTCAATTTAATGGATCAGGACCAACTGTTGTCCTAATATAGAAAAGATCAGAGTGTTTCCCATGTACCAAGAGTAAGCTTGTTCATGGAACTTTCTTTCATTTATAGATTAGTAAGTGTATGCTTTATATGTGTATATATGAGTCCTTATGTAACATGCCTTGCTTACTGTGGGTTGCATTTTTTAGAAAGTTTAAAAGCTACTAAATTAGTGTATAGATTTGGCTTATGGAATAGAGGCTCCAAAATAGCAATAGATTAAAAATCACAGTTATGGAGCCTGGGAAGTACAAGATCAAGGCACCAGCAGATTCGGTGTCTGGTGAATCCCCAATTTCTGGCATATAAATGGTACTTTCTCACTACCTCCTCACATAGTGGAAAGGGAAGTCAGCTCCCTGGGATTTCTTTTATAAGGACACTAATGCATACATGAGCTAATCTCCTGTGAGAAATAAATTCCTGTTGTTTATAAGCCACCCAGGTCATGGTATTTTATTCCAGCAGCCTGACTAGACAAAGACAAGAGAATTCTATGAGCCTGTTGATCCTGGTTATTCAATTTCTTACCTGAGCCAGCCTCAGAGTTATGGAATTGGCAGTTTTCTAAAAAAAAAAAAGCCCTTTGAAAGATTAAGAACCTTTTTATTTCTTTGCGGTCTGATCAGTAATTGAAACACAACAAATGAGATCTTAGAGACCACTCCTACATCTTTAGATGAAATCATAACAGTTTAAAAAATAATGAAACTACTTCTTCTTTTTCAGAAAAAGTACACGCTGAGATTGACAGAGTGATTGGCCAGGAGCAGCAGCCCAGTGTGGCCGCCCGGGAGTCCATGCCCTACACCAATGCCGTCATCCACGAGGTGCAGAGGATGGCAACATCATCCCCTGAACGTGCCCCGGGAAGTGACAGCCGATACCACCTTGGCTGGGTACCACCTGCCCAAGGTGAGCAGGCACTCCCAGCCTCAGCTCTCCAACCACTTAGAGATGCTGGAAATAGGAACTTGAGAAGTGACATGTGTTCTTGTCCTGAGGAGTCGTGTGAATGGGGAGAACGCTGTTACAGCTGATATAATACTAGATTTTCCTCCATGTGTGGCCTTTAGAATGTTAGTTTCACTAGATACTAAGTGCTATTGTGGGGAGTGGAGAAGGGAGGATTCTAGCCCAGACGTGTTTAGGCAAAGACCGGCTTTCCTTTGCTGTGGGGCTCTCAGCATGTTCACTATGCTAACCGAGTTGTGAGTGTCTGTGGGCACAGCAGGCAGCAGTTCTAGGGCAGACTCTGCCACAGGTGCCTTTGCTTTGCCTTGGTAGAGCATCTCGCAGGACTAGGGACCTGGCCAGACTGAAAAATTCTGCTTCATGGTCCTGGGGTTATGGAATGTGAGAATGTGAAAGGATATTTGGCACCAGCTGGGCCGAGATCACATTCATGCTGGTGTTTCTAACATACTAGCCCCACAGGTATATTTCTAGCTTTTATTTACAGCCCCATGTTGCAGAACTTCCTACCTCACAAGGAAACCAATCCCCAAGTGTTTGCAGAATTAAGTATTAGAAAGGAGAGAAAGGACTGAACACTTACTAAGCAGTGATTCTGTGTCGTGGATCTAGCACCTTTCAAAACGTCTTACTCATTTCTCCAAGTAAATCTGTTATTCCTATTTTGTGGATTGGGAAGTCAAGGCTCAGATAAATTAAGTTTGCCTGAGATCTCTCAACTACAAAATGGTGAGATTTGGATATCCAGAACCTGATCTATTCTGATTTTTTGGACTACACCGTGCTCCCTCCATAGGAGTTGCTTTTCTTTGAAATTAAAGGCATCTCCCTGCAATGTTCTCAATTGGTCCCTGTGAAATGCCCTGTCCTCAAAGAGGGACTATGATCTCACTGCACCAGCCACTCCTATGATCCCTGCAGACAGCTCTCCTTCGCCCCCTGGTGTCCTCTCCCCACACTGCACCCTTACAGTTCCTGCGCTTGCCTCCTCACCACCTTGGCCAGCCTCTGTGGCTCTACTCCAGTCTGTCTAAGTCCCTCCAAGTATGTCATCCCTGGGGAAGATCAAGGAGGTAGAACCAGAAGAGCTTGCCCAGTGGATACTGCTAGCTAACTGTCTCTTCACTATTTCCTTATTGATTGACCATCTTTTGGATAAAGGCTGAGGTCTAAATTCCCCAGGTGCTGTTTGTGTTTTTCTAGCAATTCATTTAACTCCAGGGAACCACCTGGAGTGGTTCTCAAGAGACTTCTTCTGCCACCAATTTTCAATGTAAGCTTTATCAATCATCGTAGTAACTGAGGAATTGAGTTTATAGGTTACAGAGGCCAGAGCCATCCATGGCTTTGACATCAAGTTGACCTAGCTCAACTCATAGCTCCACACTCTCCACTGTGGGACTCTGAGCGTGACATTTGACCTCTCAGAGCTTAAGTTTCTTCACCTATAAAATGTGTTTAAACCTATCTCATGGGATCCACAAGGTAAAATGAGGTCATACATGTAGAGCATTTAACCCAGTGCTTAGAAAGTACTCAAAATGGCAATTAGTATTCTTTATTAATTCAACAAATAGTCATTAGGTACCTGAGGTGCTCAGGACTGGAGTAAGAACCCTGAGCAAAATAATCATGCAACTACATCCTTACAACCATGCTAACTGCCCACAGGAAAGAACTCACTGGGTTCTATACAGGTGCAGACTGGCAGGAATGCTCAGGGAAGGCTTCCAGAAGGAAGTGAGGTTTGAACTGAGGATTAAGGGATGGTAAGAGGCAATTAGCTCAGTGACTAAGTGAGGAGGAAGAACCTTCCTGGCGAGGCAAATAGCATTTAAAGGACATTGAAATCAGAGAGCATGTGATGTGTTTGAGAAGCTAACAGGAGGCCACCATAGAGGGAGCATAGGCAGGGGTGGACAGTGGCCCAGACAGGGCTAGGCAAGGGGCTTCACCCTGAGAGTGATGGGAAGGTGCTGAAGGGTCTCGAGTGTGAGGGCTGAGCCTGTGGCTGATGTCCCTAGATCATGCTCGAGGCTCACTCCGCTTTCAGGGCATGGAGCTATTTGAAAGGGGCAAGAGGATCTGGGCACAGCTAGGGGCTATTACAGGGAAGTGCCAGCCTAGACTAAGGTGGTGGTGGTGGGTATGGAATGCAGGTGACAGAATCAAGAGAAACTGAAAGTAAAATGGACCAGTCTCACTAATGGGTTGGATGAAGGCAGAGTGAGGGAGAGGCCCATTCTGGGGTTTCCTGGCTTTGCTAGTACATACCTGGCTGGAGAGGGCTCCCATCACTGGGCTGCCTGGTGCTATTATTGGACCTGCTATGGGGCGTGGAGGCAGGGTACAGGTGTTGGAGGGAAGAGACTAGGAGAAACAGGTGAATGACATGTCCTTTACCCGTGTGGAGCTGCCATAGTTAGCACTTTATGACTGGTTCATGGTAGAATGTGGACGGAGTGGCTGTTGCATTGTTCTCCCATCCATGCATACACGTCCCCTCCCAAGACCCACACCGACCTTCCTTGGTGTAGAATGGGAAAAGATCCATTCTTCACTTAAAATGTAGCCAAACTTTTGTGATAGAATTCCCAGCAGGCAAATCCAGTCCAATCTGTAAGCTGTTCCATGCAAAGAGGGTGGTATGGGGTGGGGGTGGGCGTTGATGAGACTGTGGGTAGGTTTTGGAGGGTGGCTCAGGTCCTGGCATGGAAGCCCAAGGACCTCCACCTCTCAGCATGGGTATGCTCCTTGTGTCAAGCCCTGCCTGAGTCTTTGCTGCGTTCTCTAGGGGACTATGATCCTGACCAATTTGACTGCGCTGCACAGGGACCCCGCAGAGTGGGCCACCCCGGACACGTTCAATCCTGAGCATTTTTTTGAAAATGGACAGTTTAAGAAAAGGGATGCCTTTCTGCCCTTCTCAATAGGTGAGTTGTAATAGACAGGCGTGAGGGAGTCCAGAATCCCTCTCCCAGCCTTCCCTGCTCTTCTCCATGCAGTCCCCTGCCTTAGCTGGAATGTGTCCTGATGGCCCTGCCCAACGCCGCTCACTCCATCTCCCTGTTGGTTGGTGCACCAGGACCCCCCGGCTGGGCAGTGCTCACCCTGCCCTTCCTTCCCACACCCTCCCTGCCTCTGCTGGACACGTTGGCTTCCCTTGTAATGTCCTCCAGGTCACTGGAGACAGACACCCTGGCTCTACCTCTCCCTCACAAAGAGGAGCATTTTTGCCATATATATTGAGTTTTCAAATGTACCAAGTTCTTTTTAAGGGATGCCCACTCACATAGAAACAGAGTTGCTCTACAATAAGGAGAGAGGCCGGGGCAGGGGAATGGGATTACTTATCCACCTGCACACTTCAGTCAGTGACTCTGACTGCCAGTGACTCTGACTGATTTAACTAGATTGGATTCTGCTCTATGAGCTCTGCCTGAAGAAGTCCTTTAGCTTTTTAAAAAATTTTAAATCTGGTTAATACATTTTTCTCTTTTATCTTTTGTTACTTTTTTCTTTTTTATTTTAGCATATTATGCAGGTACAAATGTTTAGGTTACGTATATTGCCCTTGCCCCACCCAAGTCAGAGCTCTAAGTGTGTCCATCCCTCAGAGGATGCATATGGTACCCATCAGGTGTGTATATACCCATCCCCTCCCATCTGCCTGACATCCGATGACTATATGTACACTTACGTGTTGATCAGTTAAAACCAATTTGATGGTGAGTACATGCGGCATTTGTTTTTCCATTCTTGGGATACTTTAGTTATTAGAATGGGTTCCAGCTCTATCCAGGATAATACAAGAGGTGCTATATCACTGTTGTTTCTTGTAGCTGAATAGCACTCCATGGTATACATATACCACATTTAATTAATCCACTCATGTTTTGATGGGCCCTTGGGTTGTTTCCACATTTTGTAATTGTGAATTGTGCTGCTATAAACATTCTAGTGCAGATGTCATTTTTGTAGAATATCTTTTGTTCTTTGGGGTAGATGCCTAGTAATGGGATTGCTGGATCAAATGGTAGATCTACTTGTATCTTTTTAAGGTATCTCCATATTGCTTTCCACAGAGGTAGGACTAGTTTGCAGTCTCACCAGCAGTGTAGGAGTGTTCCTGTCTCTCCGCATCCATGCCAACATTTATTGGTTTAGAACTTTTTGATAAAAACCATTCTCACCAGAGATAAATGATATCTTGTTGTGGTTTTGATTTGCATTTCCCTGATGATTAGAGATGTTGAGCATTTTTTTATATGTTTGTTAGCCATTAGTCTATATTCTTTTGAAAAGTTTCTGTTCATGTCCTTTGCCCACTTTTTGATAGGGTTATTTGATATTTTTCTTGATTTTCCTGAGTTTTATATAGATTCTAATTATCAGCCCTTTATGGGATGTGTAACGTGAATATTTTCTCCCATTCTGTGGGCTGTTTGCTCGTGTCGGTTTTCTTGGCTGTGAAGCAGCTTTTCAGTTTGATCAGGTCCCATTTATTTATTTTTGTTGTTGCTGTTATTGCCTTTGGGGTCTTCTTCATAAATTCTTTGCCTAGGCCAATGTCTGTAAGAGTTTTTCCAACATTTTCTTCTAGAATTCTTATAGTTTTATGCCTTAGGTTTAAGTCTGTTATCCACCATGAGTTGATATTTGTGAGAGTTGTAAGGTGTGGATCTTGCTTCAGTCTTTTACATATGGCTCCAGTTTTCCCAGCACCATTTATTGAATAAGGATTATTTTCCCTAGTATATGTTTTTGTCTTCTGTGTCAGAGATTAGATGGCTATAGGAGGATGGTTTTATATCTGGATTCTCAGTTCTGTTCCATTGGTCTATGTCTCTGTTCTTGTGCCAGTCCCATGCTATTTTATTTACTATAGCCTAATAGTATAGCTTGAATTCTGGTAAACTGATGCTTCCCAATTTGTTGTTTTTGTTTAAGATTACTCTTGCTATACAGGGTCTTCTCTGGTTCCATACGAAGCGTAGAATTATTTTTTCTAGATCTGTGAAAAATGATGTTGGCATTTTAATAGGGATTTCATTGAATCTGTAGATCACTTTGGATGGTATACACATTTTAACAATGTTGATTCTGCTGACCCACAAACATGGTATGGTTTTCTATTTGTTTACATCCTCTGCTGTTTCCTTCCTCAGTGTGTAGTTCTCCCTGTAGAAGTCTTTTGTCTCCTTAGTTAAATATATTCCTAGGTATTTTATTTTCTTTGTTGCTATTGTGAAGGGTATTGAGTCTTTGATTTGGTTCTCAGTTTGACTGTTGGCATATAGGAATGCTACTGATTTCTGTACATTGATTCGAACCTGAGACTTTGCTGAATTTGTTTATCAATTCCAATAGTCTTGTGAAAGAATCTTTGGGGTTTTCTAGAGATAAGATTGTATCATCAACAAAGAGAGATAGTTTAACGTCTTCTGCCTCCATTTGGATGCCATTGATTTGCTTCTCTTGTCTGATTGTTCTGGCTGGGACTTCCAGCACTATATTGAATAGAAGTGGTGATAGAGAGCAATCTTACCTGGTTCCAGTTCTAAGCGGGAATGCTTTCAATTTTTTCCCATTCAGTATGATGTTGGTTGTGGGTTTGTCATATATGGCTTATATCAATTTTAGGTAAGTCCTGTCTATGCCTATTTTGTTAAGCAGTCTTATCATAAAAGGGTGTTGTTTTGTCAAATGCTTTTTCTGCATCTATTGAGAGGAACATATGGTCTTTGTTTTTGCTACTATTTATATGGTGAACTACATTTATAGATTTGCATCTGGGATGCAGCCCACTTCATCTGGATGAACATGCTCACTTGGTCATTATGGATTATTTTTCTGATAAGCACCTGAATTCAGCTTGCTAGGATTTTGTTGAGAATTTTTGCATCTATATTCATAAGGGATATTGGTCTGCAGTTTTATTTTTTTGTTGCATCCTTTCCTGGTTTTTGTATCAGGGTGACATTGGCTTCATAAAATGTGTTGGGGAGGATTCCATTCTTCTTGATGTTGTGGAATGATTTCTGCAGGATAGTCACTAGTTCTTCTTTGTAGGTCTGGTAAATTCGAGTGTGAAATCATCTGGTCCAGGACTTTTCTTTTTAGGAAGGTTTTTTATTGCTGTTTCAATTTCAGTAATTGATACTGGTCTGTTCGGGAATTCTATTTCTTCCTGATTGAACCTAGGGAGGCTATGTATTTCTAAGAATTTGTCCATTTCCTCCACATTTTCCAGTTTATGTGCATAGAGGTTTTTATAGTATTCATAGATGATATTTTGTATTTCCATGGCATCAATTGTAATTTCTCCTTTTTCATTCCTGTTACAGATTGTTAGAGTTCTTTCTTTTCTGCCTCTCATTAATCTAGCCAGAGGTATGTCAAATCTTGTTTATTTTTTCAAAGAACCAACTTTTTGTTTTATTAATCTTCCTTATAGATTTTCATTATCAATTTAATTTAGTTATGTTCTGATCTTTGTTATTTCCTTTCTTTTGCTTGGTTTGGGGTTGGTTTGCTCATCCTTTTCCAGCTCTTTGAGATGATTCATTAGATTGTGATATTTCTGTATTTTAGATGTAGGCATTTATGGATATAAATTTTCCTCTCAGGACTGCTTTAGCTGTGTCCCACAGATTTTGATAACTTGTGTCTCCTTTGTCATTTAGTTCAAAGAATCTTTTAATTTCCATCTTGATTTCCTCCTTAATGAAATAATTGTTCAGCAGAAGGTTTAGTTTCCATGACTTTGTGTAGAGATTAGAGTTTCTGTTGGAGTTGATTTCTAATTTTATTCCACTGTAGCTTAAAAAGATACATGGTGTCTAATTTCTATTTTTTTAAATTTTTTGAGACATTCTTTATGGCCTACAATATGGTCAATCTTAGAGAATGTCCCATGAGCTAATGAGAAAATCATATATTCAGTGGTTTGGGGATAGAATGTTCTATAAATGTCAGTCAGGCCCATATGTTCTAGAGTTCTGTTTAAGTCCATTGTTCCTTTGTTAATTTTCTGTTTGGAGGATCTGTCCTGTTCTGTCAGAGAGGTGTTGAAGTCTCTGGCTACTATGGTGTTGCTGTTTATCATTTTGTTTAGATCATGTAGGATTTGCTTTATGAATCTGGATGCACCTTTTAAAAGCAAATTCATATCTGCTATCTCATTGGGATCCTTGCCAAGCCATGTAACACAGGAGAGAGTATTTCATATATTTCACAAGGGAAAAAAATTTAGCTCTGTGAGAATGAATGGTTTACTCACAGTCATACAGGTAGGTATTCATGGAGCTAGTTCTTTAACCCTTATTCTTGACTTCCTGGGTTCAGTTTTTGTCATAATATCTGATTCTTCTAGGAGAATCTTGGGTATTTATATATACTGATATGGCACTACTTTAAACAAGTTGCTAACTGTGCTGTCTGTGATGGGTAAAGAGATAAAGATGAGGGGAACAGATGAATTAGACACATGCTGGTGGGAAACACAGGCACACAATAATAATGACATAATCATGAAGCATATTTACATTTATTAAACACCTTTGCATACATGTTTCGATTTCATTTCCTCAACAACTTGTTACAGGAAATGAACAAAATTTATGTACGCATACATTACTAAATGTCATGAATATTTAATTACACAACAAAACACAAAGTAGCAAAAGCAGCATATGGAATTAACTATACAGTTTAATGCCTGTTATGGTGTCTGGGAAATCCTCACTAGGACAATGAGGAAATGTGGGAAAATGTTCACAATGTTTTTGTGTGGATTCTGGGATTACATATATTTTTTATTTTCTTCTTTATACTTTTTTCATGCTTTTTTATTTTTGCAGTGGGTGTGCACTACTTAGGGAGGAAATAAGCTAATAAAATGCACACAGGAAACATAGCGGTAGTCTGGTGTGGGACATTACAGCCCAAGAGGGAAGCAAGACATTCACTCAGGGAGGGGGCAGAGGTGGTATAGAGCAAGTCTGCAAGCACAAGCAAGATAAGGTTTCGTACAGGGTGGCCATGGTAGTGACGGGAGATAAGTTATGTAGAAGGGATAGTGACCCATTAAGTAAATATATTGAGATAATGGGAGAACATTAGAAATAGGGAGAGGGAGAAAATAGAGTGAACTCTGTGGTATTGGAATGGGGATTTTCATAGATATAGAAATACAGATGTAAATATGGGTATATACGCATACATTTGAATACTCACATTATATACATACATATATTCCCCAGCTCTGTCCACTGAGATGACTTAAGAGCAACATCTGGAGTGCACTGAGCCTGCCTAATGCCCAGATGTTGATTTGTCCATGTCATTATACACTGAAAGGAACCATGACTTTTGGAAAAATGGCTGATTAGGTTAGGGAAGAGAAAGTATAAGATAAAACTGGAACATATTGTTGTGCCAAAAAGGTAGATGCTTGAATGGGCATCTAATGGTCAAATCTGGAATATTTTGAGCATCAAAACTAGTAATGATAGTAACAGATTATAACCACTTAAATGAAAATAGGAATCCCATGAATCCATACTGATATGAAGAAATGAATGAATGCATAACTGGGGAGAGTGCAAACATTTCCTTTAAGAATGCTAACTAGTTAATGTGGAAGAAATGATGGAATTTTAAAAATCATGATTTGGCAACCATCATTAATAAATATTTGGTCAAGAAATAGCGGTGGAAACAAATACATAAAAGTTTAATGGGCAATGGTTTATTAACAGAGTTCAAACTTATTAACAGAGCTATTTATTAATTACAAAGAGAAAAAGAATAATTTGTATAAGGGACAACTTGGTAGACACCACTTTAATCAAGTGATCACCAATAATGGGACAAGTCAAAATTGTGTACCACTGAAGAGGATAAAATGAGAGCAACACCATAACACTTCAGTGATATTCCTATTAAAAACACAGAACCTCAAACTTGAATCCAATCATGGGGAAAACATGAGAGACATTTACAAAATAACTGGTCTGTAATCTTTAAAAAGGCCAGAACCATGAAAGTTACATGAAGAGTGAGAAATTACTCCAGACCAAAGGAGACTAAAGAGACATGACAGGTGAAAGCAATACATGACATTGTACTGGAGCCTTTTCTAATAAAGGATGTTATAGGGACAACTGGCAAAACCTGAATGGGATTTGAGGATAAGATGGGGTAATGTATCAACATTAATTTCCTGGCTTGGGTGGTTATATTGAAATTATGTTGGACAATGTCCTTGTTTGTAGAAAATACATACTGAAGATTTCATGAATAATGTAGGCAATTTACTCTCAAATAATTCAGGAGAAATATGTTCTATATATAATTTTTGCACATTTGTAATTATTTCAGAATAAAAGGCACATTATGGAAAGTACCATAGTAAAGAACTGTAATGTGGAGAAAGCTATTTCAATAACACTACCACCCAAAAAAGTTTTATTTAAAGGTAATCTTTTACTTTTTATTTATTTTTCCTTTTAGAGACAGGGTTTCGCTCTATCACCCGGGCTGGAGTTCAGTGGCGTGATCTTAGCTTATTGCAGCCTCAAACACCTGGGCTCGTGATCCTCCTGCCTCAGCCTCCCTTAGCTGAGGGAGGGACTGCAGGCACACACCTCTATGCCTAGCTAATTTTTTCTACTTTGTGTGGACACAGGGTCTCACTATATTGTTCAGGTTGGTCTTGAACTCCTAGCCTCAAGCAATCCTCACACCTCAACCTCCGAAAGTGCTGTGATTATAGGAGTGAGCCACCGTGCCTACCCCAAGGTCAACCTTTATTTTGTCTTTTGAAAAATAACCATATCAAGTTAATGATAAGCTATTATGCAACTATAATGTTTATTATTATCTAGGTGACATTTTAAAATACTTTCTTTGCTATATAAATTACTTGACCCACTTTGGATTCAGTGTATAGCCCACACAACTTATGAAGTTCTCATCATAAACACACATACATTTTCACTAATGCCTAGAGAGGCAGCTTAATTTACCCTAATCACATGGCTACAACATGGGAGGGTTAAAATTGGACTTTTGGCTCCAGTTCACCCACACATAACAGGGAGTGGGACGGGACCAGGGCAGTGCCAAGTGTGAGCTGTGGAAAGCAGGACCCAGCCTCGGGCCTCACTTTAGAAGCAAAGGCTTGTTTGGGGGAAGGACAACCGTGTATCACAAGGACTACACAAGGAGGGAGGCAGAAGTGGTTCCAGTAGAGAGCCCATCCATGCCAGCGAGGTCTCCATAATTGAGAAGAATGTGGCAGAAGGGAAAGGTAACTTGTACCTTGGAAACCTTCCTCTGATGGTTAATTATAATTTGGACGGTTTCCTTTTAAGGATGGGAAACCATTAACACAGAGATTTATTAGTGCTTCATTGTCTGCATTTGTTGTTTAAGTTTTAACACCCTTAGGCTAGACACCCACTCTGTAGGTCAGCCCAGCCTTCCAGTTCTGTGATCGCACTCCTTGCACCTTCATCCCGAACCTCACCTGCCTGACCACTGAAGTCATCTGACTTTGTGATTCAGGACTTCTGCTTTCTGTGTTTGGATGAACCCAAGTGGTGGTCAGACTTACGCTGCTGCCCATAAAGCCCTTCCTCGGCTCAGGATTTACAGGTTGTGGCTGAGGATCCCAATCCCTGCTAGGCACCAGTGCCACCTGGGAGGACAACTCATGTTTTGATTTTGTCTTTCAGGAAAGCGGGCGTGCCTTGGAGAACAGTTGGCCAAGTCAGAGCTGTTCATTTTCTTCACTTCCCTCATGCAAAAATTTACCTTCAGGCCCCCAGAAAATGAGAAGTTGAGCCTGAAGTTCAGAATGGGCATCACCATCTCCCCAGTCAAGCACCGCCTCTGTGCTGTTCCTCGGGCGTGACGTGGCAGGGAAGGGAAGGGGGAAGGAAGGAAGAAGAATGGGCATGTGTTCTGAAGACACTGGTCACTGCACAGGTGTGAGGGGACAAAATGAACATGACCCTGAGGAAAATCAGAGGAATAGGACTCAGAGAAAACTATATCCAAATCCAAGCTCTGCTTTCTCCTCCAAATTAGCTTTGGAAAAGTCATTGATGTGCCAAACAATTTAGCTTTTCTCCTGGGAGGTGAGAAGAGGACAATGATTCCTTCCTGAAAGAAAGTTCGTGTTAAAAGGAAATAGTGGCCTTTAAGTGATTTGTAAGCCATAAAGCACGTCATAAGAGTTATAGCTGTATGTGCCTTCATCTTGCATCCTTTGTTAGATGTGTATTTGCTTCTGGCATGTTGAAAGAGCTCAGGTCAGAGTGGTGCAAAATGGTCTTTAAGAGTTAAGAGTGGGCCCTGGGACAGCCACAGAGGTGCATCCTAAAGGCTGTCTCATTTGCTCCCACTGTACTTTATTTTCTTCATGCCTGAGTGGTTTTCTTAGAAGTTAGCAGGGCAGGTATTGTTCCCTGTTGACAGAGAAAGCAAGTGTTGTTGAAGCAGTTTCTAAGGATGACATAAAGAAACACTAACTTGGCCTTAGATCCATGGTCAAGTAGAGTGTGTCCCCAGTTAATCAAAATGGGAAGCAGGTTTGGGGGACTAATGTGGAAATATTTTCTATCCTTAAGAGTATCTCTTTGCCTTAAATCTTCCAATAGGTATCGATTCTCAGGCTTTTTCACATTGGATTTAACTATGTGGTAGGCGTGATCTTTTCTTGCAACTAGATTGTAAGTTTTTGGTGGACCCTGGTAGAGTATTTTACAGCAGGAGATCAGAAATGTCACATACCTGCTCAACCTGTCTGGGTTTAGCTGCTGAGGGGACAAAATGCTCATAAAAGAGAAGGCCAGGTAACACAGATACTCCATGGAATTTTGATACAATGTGAATGCAGAAAAATGAACAAAACCCCTGGAAAACTAGACTAACTCTTATATAAAGATCTCTATTTTCCCTAAAGTGGTATCTTAGTCTATTTTCTGTTGGTATAAGAGAATACCTGAGACTGGATGATTTATACAGAAAAGTTTATTTGCTCAGAGTTCTGGAGGCTGGAAAGTCCAAGGGCACGGTGGCAGCTCCTAGCAAGGGCTTTTGTACTGTGTTATAGCATGGCAGAAAAGCAGAAGGGCCACAAACACCTGCCAAATAGAGAAAGCATGAGGTGCTCGGCTTACTTTATAGCAGGCCACTCTCTGCATAACTAACAAACACACCTCCTTGGTACTGACACTAATCCATTTGTGAGGGCTCCACCCTTCTGACTCACCTTTCATTACACCCCACCTCCTAACACTGCAGCATTGGGAACTAAGTTTCAAAAGAAGCTTTGAGGGGACAAACACCTAAACCATAGCAAGGTGATTCAACCTAAGTAAGTAGCCTAAAACACAACATGCCATGAGCCATGGGGCATATCCTTCTTGTCTCTTGGGATTCAGAGAAAAGCAAATGCAGTTGGCACTGTGAGAATGGGAAACCGAGAAAAGGATAGGGGTAGAGTGTTTGGCTGGAACCAGCCTAAGCTGGCTGAGAGAGCAAAGAAAAATGTGCCTGGAAGAAATGGTTGAGTTTTTAATGTGTGGGAGGAGGCTTTGGTCCTTCTTGCCTAGTAAAAGAGAGAATTGAAATGAGAGCCCCATGCATGTGCACTTGTTCTGTAACTCACTATAAAGTCGCATCTCTGGAAAACAGGCCAAGTGATAGTCTAAGAATAAAACCAATTAAATCAGGCCTTGAACTCCCCAAACTTCCAGGACCTTGTCTTACATTTTTTCCCCCAAATAAGATCACCCAAGTAGGAGACTCAAACAGAAATTGGTCAAAATAGATTATCTGTCTCAGTTTCTTTATGTGTAAAATGAAGGATTTGTTGAAGTCATCTCTAAATTCCTTCCCTGCTCTACTGTGCATTGTCCATGATCCTGGATGGGGAGGTACACACCCACTTCTGGGGAATAAATGTAAACTCACTAGGGACTCATCCTGACCTAAGGGATGCAATGGGACCAAGGGCCAAGTAGAGTATATGCACAATTAGCCAGAAACTTGGGCAATACATGACTTATAATTGATTTTTATGGCCATGTAAAATGTCTTTTTCCTCAAAGCTTGTTGGATAGGCTCTAAAATATGAGGCCTTTTCCTATCCAAGCAAGACACGAAGATTTTGTTATACACACTTTTGTTACTCTGTTACTCCTGCATCTACCTGGAAGGCTCCAGGGCCCCTTCCCCTCTTCTTTCGTATCAGTGCCTGACACAGTGTGCAACATGACATGATCCGTGGCATCGCGGACCAAGAGTGGATTTTACCAAATGGCAACCTAGGCTGTGAATCTCCTCTCCACCACTCCCCTGCAAAGACACACAGACACATGCAGGCTGCAGGATAAATGTAAAATGGGGTTGGAGGTTGCGTGACTTACGGCAGAGAAGAGCAGGACACACACGATATCCTGAGCACTCAGAAGTGTTCCGGGTTGGGCACAGCTGGACTGCATGCACCAGGGAGAAGTCCAGGAGAGGGACCACCCTCACAGTGCCCCGCATACTTGCAGACAGGAGGCAGGGGCTGGTTAGGTGAGTAAGTAGCAAGGACAGCTCCGTGGGTAAGGAAGCGGCTTGGTTAGAACAGGAAACTCCAGACACTCAAGCTCCAGGCTTGAGCTCCCTCCCTCAAGCCTGCTGAGCCAGCCTTTTTTCTAGCCACCAAAAGGGAAGGGGGGCAGGGGTGAGTGCTGAAGGTCTTCTGGATTTGTCACTGCTCAACCCCTTACTGCGACTTTAAGAGCAAGACATTTAAACCTGCAAAATCTCTTTTTCCTCCTCTAAAAACAAAGGTATGAGAGCATAAATGTCACTATGTGGTGGTGAGGATAAAATTGGAAAACATGAAATTCTTTCTGTGTAATAAATCAACAGCAATGAGATTCAAGAGGGTGCAAGGCAAAAGTGGTTCTATTCCCACCCACCCACACCCCAACACATGCTGCACAACCTTTCTGACTCTGGACGAAATTTCAGGCAGGGTCCATCACTTTTCAAGTTACTCTTACATAACAAATTCTCACATGTGTTCCTAAGAAGAGTCCTTTTGGCCGTTACAGTTTGCAGCCCAATAAGGACACCGCTATAGAACTCCTTAGGATAGTTGATTAGGTCCCCCTTCCCCACCCAGTTTCAGAACTGGAAGGTTTCCAGGTGGGGAGGGCAGGAGTTCAACTATCTTGTCTCTCTGCACCATATGCTCCCCCTTTCACATGCGACCCCACCTCACCTTCCCACCCAGGTGACCTACCGGAGCTGGGGCCATCCATATGCAGTGTCCTTACCTTAATGTGTCTCTCCCACTCCTGGGCATCTCCTAGTTCTGCTGCTCATCTGGACAATTATCCCTCTAGGCAGTCCTCTTGTTAGCATCAAAAATGGTCCCATAAGCCAGAGGGGCCATGCAGTGCCCTACTGAGAGATCCCTCCCTCCACGGCCCCCACTGTTGGCACCACTCAGCCTCATGCCTATAGGAAGTTCCAGGCATCTGTGTGGCTCTGATTCTTGGTACCCCAGAGATTCCACAGAGCAGAGTTAAAAACTTGAAGTTTGAAGCCTCTTACCCGGTGAGGGGAAAAATTGTCATGCCCTCACTCCATGGGAGATGGGTGGGAGGTGAGGAGGACCCTTTCATCAAAGAAAACCAGAACTGAAAAGTAGCAAAGCAAAGTGATGCAGCAAAAACAAGTTTTATTCAGGAACTATTGCAATAGGGGGGAAGAGATCTCAACGTAGAACTAACGCAGTTGCAAATACAGCAAGGACAAGTGGGGGATTGTAGCCAAGGAGCTGGATGGGGGGACCAGTGAATGGACAATGGCTAAAAGAAACACCAGGGGTGAGGGGGATTCTTGCTGAGGACAAGCCATAGTAGTCAGATGCCAAGGTGGAGGATGCGGAATTTGAGCAGGTATCAAGTGTTGTCTCTAAATGGACACAGCAAGATTCTTGCTACAACTGACCACACAGGCCCGACAAGGACGATGACTACAGGGCTTAGCGGAGCCGCAGAAGTGCCCTCTTTCCTTTTTCCCATAACCCTCAGCCATTCCATGCCCTCTATGTAGGTACTGGCCTTATAAGGGTTACAAAAACAGTCTCTGATGCCCCCATGGCAAATCTCACACAGGACTTCAAGTCCCCGACTTTAGAGCTGCGGGTTTAGCACAGCACTTGGCTTGCACCATTCGCCTTGCAGTGACTGGGACTCCAGCTGAGACAGTGATGGAGAGCCCCACTTTTGTATCCTGCTACACATATGATCCCCTGCCCACAATAAGACCCTAATGAATGTTATTTCTCCATGTTGAATGAAGGAATAGATGAATAACCCACAGGATACACTTCAGGATCTTCCTGTGTCCCAGGGTCGGTACTGTGAACAGCAAGGACAGGACAGGACTGTAAATATGGCCAACACTGGCCTGCAGGTTTGCTGAGTTGTTATACACTATATGAAAGAGTTGTTTTAATTTTCACTCTATCCCGCATATTATGTTGGTGTTTCTGCCATTAAGTCTCAGAAAGTTCCAGGTATATTTTTAATAGAAGATGCTTTGTTTTATTCTGATCAGCTTTGTATATATGGCAGCATTCTACACTATAGCTAATAAGTTATCATTTTCTTAATTGGTAAAATTGCATTGCATCCTTCAATATGCACATAAGCTGGTGGTGTCTCCCTAAGTGTGGGAAAACCACACCTCAGGAATTGTTTCTTCTACTTGGAATGAGGGCTCCATTCATGAGCTCCTCCCTCCTGAGACAGAATCTGTTTACCGTTCCCTTTGTGCTGGGCTGGCCTGGTGGTAAAATAACTTTTTTGAGCCTAGGGCCCAAAGAGTTTGAGTGCTTCTGCTTGCTCTTCTGGCACTTTACTGCCACCATTTAAACAAACCCATGTTACTCTGCTGATGAGAAACATGTGGCTGAGTCACTGCTGTCACACTACCCTAGCTGACAGCTGGCCCACCACCAGCGCTGTGCATAAGGACATCTGAGGTGAGCTGGATCCGAGCAAATCCACAAGGTGAATGCACATGCATGAGTGAGCTCAGCTGAGACAAGAACTGTCCAAATGAGCTAGCTTCAATTTCCAGCCTGAGATTTGTAAGTTAAATAAATGGTTGTGTTAAGCCACTATGTTTTTCTTTTTGAGACAGAATCTCACTTTGTTGCCCAGGCTAGAGTGAGTGCCATGGCATCAGCCTAGCTCACAGCAACCTCAAACTCCTGGACTCAAGCAATCCTACTGCCTCAGCTTCCTGAGTGGCTGGGACTACAGGCATGCGCCACCATGCCTGGCTAATTTTTTCTATATATATTAGTTGGCCAATTAATTTCTTTCTATTTATAGTAGAGAAGGGGACTCACTCTTGCTCAGGCTGGTTCTGAACTCCTGACCTCCAGTAATCCGCCCGCCTCGGCCTCCCAGAGTGCTAGGATTACAGGCGTGAGCCACCGGGCCCGGCCGAGCCACTATGTTTTGAAGTGCATTTTTACATAGCAATAATTAACTGATTACTCCTTGAGGGCAAGAGCAGAATCTGTCTTCTTCAATTTTGCAACCACAGTAACAGTGTTCAGAACATGGTAGGGCTCAAGAAACAGTGAGTTAATGAACAAAACAGGTAGAATCATTGTGGGTTGGTGCTAGGTTGGACCTATCACCAGAAATCAGATCTCTGCCACTTCCCCTCTGTCCTTGTCACTTCACCCCAATGACCTACTTCACAGTCCTGATGCTAACTTCCATTACAATCCTTCAGGAACAGAGTGGAGGGGCACAGGTTTGTCCTTGCCTCACTGTCGGCCCCAGTTTCCAGCTGGCTTCCTGGAAGGGGGCCATGGATCCCACTTCCCCAAGCTGGTTTCGCAAGAACAGGCTGATGCCCTGGATAAATATTTTGTCTTTTCTGGGTCACACTGTGATTTTGTGCATTCACCATGAGCTATTTGTTCTGCTCTGGAAAACTAAGAACAGAACTATTTTCTTCTTCTTTTGAAACAGGTAAGAAATTAAGCAAGAAGGGGTCAAATGCAAAGGGTCACTATCAGGGGCTGGCACTAAATCACTGAGGATGCCTGTTACAATAATTAGGGTCAGAACAGAGGCTCCTCTTTGCCCCATCACATCTAAGATCCAAAGATATCACGGGACTCTGATGCACACAACACTAGAATTAAAGGTCTCAGGATAGTGTGTGTGTGTGTGGGGGGGAGTCAGATGAACTGGAGGTCAGAGCTTTGTAGCTAAGCTGGCCTGAATTCAATTCCCGGTTTTACCATGTATTTCCTTTTGCTTGCAAATTAGACAGGTTACTTTACTTTCCTGAACTCACTTCCTAATCTACAAAATAAAGTAACACCTGCTGTTGTAGATTGGTGACAAGATCCATCCTCCCTCTCTGGGGTCCCTTTTCCTTGTGGTGCTCCTCCCTGTGGGATGATAGGATATGACCACCTTGATAAATGCAGAATGGCCATGTGATTGGCTGTGGTCAACAAAATGAGAACAAAAGTTCTATGAGTCACTTCTGAATGCTTAAGGGCCAGCTAGCAGTTCAACATATTTCTCTTTTCTCTGCCATGAAACCAGCAATGTCCCAGATAAGGGTCCATCAGCCTATGTCTAGTGTGACAAAGACAGGAAGCAGAGTCACAGCCTATTCAAGAAGGACATATAAGAAACAAACCTATTTTGTTGTTACCCACTAAGTTTTTGGGATTGTTACTACAGCATAATTTATCCTAAGCTATCTGATACACCTGCATTATAGTTGTTGGGAGAACTAAAGATAGCAAAGTAACATAGTGTGCCTGGCATATAATAAATTACATGTAGTTTATTACATATAATAAATGTTGTTATGGTTATTTTAGACAAAGCCTCCATTTATGCTACTATGCCACTGGAGAACTTATTTCTATACTTTTTTTCCCATGCAGTTTCATGTTTTTATCACTGGGTTCACAAAACAAGATATTCTTCTCCCTATTGACTAGAGAATGAGATTCCTTAGCAGGGTTGCTCCATGGCAAACCCCAGGATGCCATTCGCTTGTAGTCTAGGTGGACGGTGCCCTCTGGAGTGGGACTGTATAGAGCCTGCACAGCTATATGTGTGGGCCTGCTCCTTAGCTGGGCACATGGTAATTTTTGTGACCTGAAACCTGCTCACCTCTTCAATTACATCCCTCAGTACTTCTCCTGCCAAACTACTGAACTATTAATTCCCTGGATGGGCCAGATACTTTATCATATTCATGTCTTCATATAAGCCATATTTTTTTTGCAAGAAATGTCTAAATACACCTGGCACAATCCTATTCATCCTGTAAAAACCAGGTTAAATGCCAACTCTGCAATGGCATTTTTCTGGACTCTTAGTTGTTCCCTCCTCCATTCCGAGAATTTAATTAAAAAGTTTAAATTTCCTATTTACATGTAATCTCCCAATTATGCTGAGCTTCTCAGAGGTAAGTGTGCCTTGCTCACATAGATTCGGTTCCTAACAGTGTTTCATGCACAGTCGACACTCAGTAAACGTCTGTTGCACACACAGTGAAGCAAGGGGTGGGGAGCAAGCACCCAGGTGACATGAATGCTGCAGCATGCTGGATTTTCTGTGGCTATGCAGCAAGCCCTCTACCTCTATGTGCCTTAATTTCACATTCTGAAAAGTGTGGGCTTTAAAGATTGTTTACTGAGGTCACTTCTACTTTCAAAAATCTGACTTGTGGAGAGAACTTCTGAAATGATAAAGAGCTCCAAAAATCCACTTTTTTACAAAAGCACCGAGAACACTAGCAAAAATAGTCCAAATCAACATTTCCAGAACTCTGGAAATTAACCAAAGTCTTGCAACAATCTGAGCATTTGTTTAAAAAAGAGGAGCTGGCTCTCAGGAAGAAACAAGGAGCTCTGTTTTAACTTGGCCTGTTCCCATTCTCCTCTCCCCAGCTCTGAAGTATAAAGCAATAGTCTCACAACTATGGTAGCTATGAATACCAACCACCAAGCAACTCCTGGAGGGAGCAGAATGGGTTTGGAGCACTCTAAAGGTTCTATTCCCAGAAAACTGCCATTATTTGACCACTATGGCGGTTCCCTGAAAAGCCTCATTCTCAAGACTTGTCTTTATTTGACCTGACTCAAAGCTCATTCTCTGTGTGAACAACCTCACAGGATATTTGTTAAAAAAAATCAGTGACAATTGTACAACATTACAGTAACCCAAGGTGGCAATACCAATTGGTGCCAACAAAAGGATTAAAAGGAAAACTGGGAGAAGAGATGTCCATTGAGCCTTCAAAAGTGCTCACATATTCCTAGGAATCTAGAAGGCCATGCACATGTGAGGGCTGTGTGTATGCTAGAAATGCACACAGCCCTAATGGGCTTTGGCATCCCTGGCTGACCTTGAAGGTCTGGGTAAGCAGGAAGTTAAGTCTAAGATAGAGTTGTAAACTACCTGCTGGAGTGTTAAAGGTATAACCCAACATACATTCAGAGCCCTTTGGGAAGTTCAAGATATTTAAGGAAATCTCTGTCTAAAATTAGCTGAGCACTATGCTCACAGAGAATCCAGTGGCTGCACATGATGAATGGACATTTTATAGAATTAGTCCAAGTAAGTCTCTAAACAAGAAGCAACAAAACAACATTATAATAGATTCTGGCAGAGGAGGAGTCCGATTTCCAATTTCCACATATCATTTAAAAAGCCAATTTTTCAACAAAAATTATGAGTCATGGAAATCAGGAAACTGTGGCCCATACACAGGTTAAAAAGCAGTTACTAGAAACTGTCCCTGAGGAATCTCATACATTGGATTTACTAGACAAAAGCTTTAAATAAGTATCTTCAAAGAACCTAAAGAAACCATGTCTAAAGAATTAAAGGTAAACATGAGAATGATTTTTCACTGAATAGATTATCACAAGGAGATAGAAATTATAAAAACAGGTAATAAACTAGAAATTCTAGAGTTGAAATGTACAATAACTGAAATGAGAAATTCACTAGAGTGGTTCAGCAGCAGTTGAGCTAGCAGGATGAATCAGTAAACCTGAGGTTTAAGTCAACATTATCTATTCTGAGGAACAGAATGAAAAGAAAAATGAGCAGACTCTTGGAGACCTATGGGACACCAACTATCAACAAGTGTATAATGGTAGTACCAGAGGAAAGGATTGAAAGAGAAAGTAAGTATATTTCAAGAACTAAAAGCCAAAAACTTAATAAAAATCATTAATCTGTAGATCTGAGCTCAACAAACTACAAGTAGGATAAATTTAAAGAGATCCACACCTAGATCCACACTTGATTATCCATTTGATAGTCAAGCTGTCAAACGCCAAAGACAACTGTCAAAAGCCAATGAGAGAATCTTGAGAGTTGGATATCCTCTGTAACTCTGCAGAGATGTAGAATGTGTACATTCAAGCTAGATACCTAAAAACCAGACTGCCCAAAAGAATTTTCTTTGATGACAGAAATGTTCTTCACCTGCACTGTTCAATACTGTAGTCACTAGCCATGTGCAGCCATGGAGCATTTCCAGTGTGGCTATGGTGTCTCACAGAAAACAATTTTCATTACAATTTACATTTAAATATCTGATGTGGCTAGCAGCCACCATCCTGGTCAATGCATAATAGGTCTAGAACCTTGAATTGCTCTTAATAAACTAGTCACAAAACAATGTGATGCTAGCTGGAACAGCATTTATTGTACCAGTTCAGAAAGCTAAGCTACATTGACGGAATAATGGGGATCTACCTAAAGTGAGACAGCACTTCACTTTTGTCTCCATCATTGCATATCTGGCACATTAACCTCATTTAGGTGATCATTAAACAAATATTTATTATCATCCATTAATGGCAACAGAATTAAACCTTTCCAAATATTGTCCCAGAATACAGAACACCTGCACTTTTCTAAAAATCAATTTCACAACTCATTTCAACAAACCTCTATGAATTGGGAAGTTGGAATGATGGAAGAAAGAAATCCCAAAATAAAATAACTTAAAAAAAAAAATAGCTTAAACAAGAGAAGCCTGGGCTGGAGGTCCACAGCTGCTTTGGCTAAATGGTGATTTCAGGGACCCAAGTTCCTTTTCCCTTATTGTT